GTCTTCCTCAGCAAAAAGAGGAGGAGTAGCATGGACGTTAGCTCAGGGCTGATCTTCCTCACACACACACAAAAATAATAAAAAATAATAAAAAATAAAACTACATAAATAATATGATTTCAACCCATAAAAAGGTACAAAGACCGAAATAAAATTTACCAAAGGCAATACACCAAAATGTTAACAACAGCTGCCTCTAAGTAATGGAATAATGAGTGATTTTTCTTCTTTTTCTTTATCCTTTTCCAAAATTACTTTTATAGTACAAAAAAAAAAAAGATATACAAAAAACACATTTTCCCTAATTTAAAAAGTTTACCTATTCCATAAGCAAGAGAATCTAATTTTAAAAATACTATCAAAGCAAGTCACCCATGACATCCTGTAACCGCAACTTCTACACTTAGAAGTACCTTTGGAAGATTGTAGACATGGCGCTGGTAGATTAGCTCATAATGGGGAGGGTTGATAGCACTCTGATAAATGCAAAAAACATTCTCATTTGTCACATCTGTAAAGGAAATATGCTACATTAAAAAACAAAACAAAACCACTAGATACATTTCACGTGAACAGTTCAACTCATCCTTTTGGGAGAGGTTTATACCTGGTTTATTTGGTGTCTGCACAAAGTGCTGAGAAGTAAATGTTTTCCCGTCAGGGTACTTTGGGTGCGGAGGCAATCGGGAGTCAAGGTAGGTGCAAAACACATGCATGATGATCTGACAAGGAGGAAACAATTTTTCAAAGTCAGCATGAAAATCTATCACAGATGTAGCCCTTTAAAAACATCTGTGTTTATAATGACTCCAATTTTTAAATTTTCCTCTAAAGAGAAAATTAGCAAAAATGCTTTCAAGTGGTTACATTTATAAGATGAAATCCATAAAATGAAAAGATAAAAGACGTTCTTAGTTTTCTGTTAAGTGGATCGTTCACACCCACAGAGTTAATTAACAGCAAAACTAAGATTAAAATACACACACATGCCATACTCAATTTGAATATTAGCATTTAAAACTTCATTTTCACACATAACAGTCACTGTAAAAAAATAAAGAACACAATTTTGAAAAACTCTTAAATGCTCAAAAACTTTATACTCTTTGATCTCATAAATCTAATTCTAGGAATCTTTCTTAAAGTCATAATCCCAAACAAGAAAGAAATATGCATCATGATATTCCTTGCAACATTATTTGAGATATAAAAACAAAAATCCCTCCTCCTCCTCCCATGTTTCTCAAACTTTTAGGTCCAATATAGGAAAATAATTAAATGATAGTGCGTTAATAATGGAAAAATACTTAAACATTGCAAAAGTGAAAAAAAGCAGGATACAAAATTTTACATATGGGATGATTACAACTATGATAAAAACACTAAAAAACAGCACAATCTAAGTAAAGGGGAAAAAAATACAGCAAAATATTAACTGTGGTTGGGTTAAGATGCTTGTACAATTTTATTTTTATTTCTACCTTAGTTTCTAAATTCTTCTTAATACTTATTTTTATAATGGAAAAATAAAAACACATAAATCCAGTAACAAAAGTGTTAAACTGAAAAAATACAGTAAAACTAGGAACTTACGGCAGAATCAGTGGGCAGGTCTGTATCCCACTTGCGTCCTTTGAAGTCTCCACCTCTATTCCACCGAAATGAGCTCATACAGCCTCCTTGAGAAAGTTCTGTAGAACAAAGGTGAAATAAAAAAAAACTAAGAATATGCAAAAAGAAAAGAAGAAAAAGGCTAAGAAGTTATAATAAGGGAAGCATATCATCTTATTTTTTATTTATTTATTTATTTTTTTGTGTGTGAGGAAGATTAGCCCTGAGCTAACATCTGATGCCAATCCTCCTCTTTTTGCTGAGAAAGCTTGGCCCTGGGCTAACACCTGTGCCCATCTTCCTCCACTTTATACGGGACAGCACCACAGCATGGCTTTGATAAGTGGTCCGTAGATCCGCATCCCGAATCTGAACTGGCAAACTCTGGGCCGCCAAAGTGGAGCGAGGGCACTTAACCGCGACACCACTGGGCTGGCCCTGGGAAGCATATCATCTGAAAAACCTGATCAAAACATCCAAACATAAAGAAATACAAGATATAAAAGATTAACTTTAACATCACCATGAGGAAAGAATCAGATAAATCCAAAATGCGGGACAAGACTACTATTCTGGATTCTTAAAAAAGTCAATGTCGTGTGGGCCAAAAGAGGTGGCAGAACTGTTCTAGACGAAGAGACAAAAACAAAGATAAAACAACACAATGTAACGTGTGAACCTAGACTCCATCTTGGTTAGGAAAAAAGAAAAGAACATATAACATCCGTTGGATAATTGGGAAATTTGAATATGAACTGTATATTAGATGATATTATAGAAATATTGTTAATCTTAAAGGTCTGATAAACATATTGTGGTTATATAGGAGAATGTCATTTTCAGGAATTCTTGTGCTGAAAGATAATAACATATGTAATATACTTTCAAATACTAGAGCAAAAAAATGTGTGTATATGTGTATACATATATATATAGAGAGAGAGAGGGTGTCAAAAACGGCAAAATGTTGGTAACTGTTCGATCTAGAAGGCCTGTGCAGTGTTCATTGTATTTTTTAAACTTTTTTGTATAGTTGATATATAATAATACCTTATATATACTTTGTATATATATGCGCGCACGCACGCACATACACACATGCGCGCGTGCGCACACACACACACACCCTCTTATATCTATGAGGCAATCTTGCCAAAAAATTGCAACCCGAATTTACGTGAAATACAGAGGACAGAGGGTCATGTAAAACTACGCCATGCGGATGTGCTCAGCAAAATCCACACCATGGGAAACTCAAAGGGACAAACAATCCAGTTCTTTCAACAAATAAGTTGCAAACTAAAAAGGATGGACAGGAAACCTACAGCTTAAAAGAAACTCAATATATCTACCAATCACAACATGTGATAATATTTGAATCCCAATTCAAACAAACAATACCAAAAAAGTAATTATACATTTGATGAGATAGTTGGAAATTTGTACATAGGCTGTATATTTTATGATACAAAGAAATTGTTAAAAAATACTAGGTGTGATCACTGTTTTGTGGTTACATTTTTAAAAAGCCTTATCTTTTAGCGATACATAGAGATATTCACAGATGCAGTGATAACAACATGTAGGATTTGTTTCAAATAATACAGGAAGGGAGGAGGTAGGTGGGGACACAGCTAGGGCAGGGGTTGCCCAAGGACTGAGGGTTGTTGGGACCAGGTGCTGTGTACAAGAGGGTTGACCATACTATTCTGTTTAGTTTCACGTACATTTGAATTCTCCTCATATAAAAAGCTTTTAAAAGTCATGATAAATGTTATTCCTGAACCCCAGTCCAAACCTAGGGGAGGGAGGGGGCACCATAAAATTTTCAAATTAACATTTATGATAATTCTGAGGAGTGGAATATTATTTCTAAAACTCGTTTTAGTGATGAGAACATTTTATAGAGTTTATCCAAATAAAAGTAGGGAGGCATAAAGAGTGTGTGGGAGGCGAAATTTCCTGATTCTCAAGTCAGGCTCCTCAGAAGATCACATTCCCCCCAAATAATTACAATACAACAAAAATATAAAGAAGCAACATATTAAATATAAATTATAAAAACAAAGAAATAAGGATCAGCACGCTGAAATTATAAAGAATGTCATAGTGGCACCCATTCTTGGTAGTTTCTACTCTTAGTAGAAAATGAGTGAAATATTCAATTGAGCCCATTTAGCTCATATTTAAGTTTCCCTATATAGAATAAAATTATTAATTAACATATTCAAGGCTAACTACATTATTTTGACAATTCTTAAGCACATAAAATATAAAACCCAAAAGCTGTTCAAGTATAAGCCTTAATTAAGCCATAATTATATATATATATAAAATATAAGATAATACTTAGTGATACTTCTCATTTTTTCAAAGAAAGTTTTTCCTTGTTACCTTTATTTATAAAAATCTCAAAGTACCAGAGAAAAAGCTCTCGCTTTTTCCTTCTTCAAATCAATAGTTACCTTTGATCCTTTCAAACAAGTATTCCTGATTTGGTGTAAGGTCTAGATACTGCACGATTGTATTCAGAGTTGGAATGAGAGGAGCTTTAACCAGAGCAGCTTGTTTCAAGCTAGTAATACTAGCCTCTGTTAAAAACAAAACATACACACACCGATTATTCTTCACATGGGTCTCTAAAATAACTGAAAATGCTCTTCCCTCAATAGATGTTGAAGGAATAAATGAAAGCAATAATAGTCTTAACAATTTGCATTATCTACTTCTTATTGTTAGTGCCGTCCAGTCAATTCTGACTCTTAGCGACCCTCTGTACAGCAGAGTGGAACCCTGCCCGGCCTTTTGGTGTCGTCCTCCCACCTTCAGATGCTATATGAGACAATGCTCCGCTGCTATTTGTAGGGGTTTCATGGCCAATTTTTATTTTTTTAATTTTTTTTGGTGAGGGAGATCAGCCCTGAGCTAACATCCGTGCTAATCCTTCTCTTTTTGCTGAGGAAGACTGGCTCTGAGCTAACATCTACTGCCAATCCTCCTCCTTTTTTTTTTTTTTCCCTTCCCCAAAGCCCCAGTAGATAGTTGTATGTCATAGCTGCACATCCTTCTAGTTGCTGTATGTGGGACGCAGCCTCAGCGTGGCCGGAGAAGCGGTGCGTCGGTGCGCTCCCGGGATCCGAACCCAGGCCGCCAGCAGAGGAGCGCGCGCACTTAACTGCTAAGCCATGGGGCCGGCCCACATGGCCAATTTTTTGGGAAGTGGGTGGCCAGGTCCTTCCTCCTACTTTGTCTTAGTCTGGAAGCTCCGCTGAAACCTGTCCACCATGGGTGACCTCGCTGCTGCTTGAAATACCAGTGGCATGGCTTTCAGCATCACAGCAACATGCAGCTGCTACAATATGACAACTGACAGAAAGGTGGTGTGGGTCCCTGGCCAGGAAACGAACTCAGGCCACAGTGGTGAGAGCACCGAATCTTAACCACCAGGGCTGGTCATTATCTACTTTACCTACAATTTATTTTACCATTTCTGGCAAGGTGGCCAGATTTACACACACACACACTCCAAAAGCAGAAGCCAAATCCATATCAGCAGATCTATAAACAACTAATACCCAGAAGATTTTTGTCGGGTACGTATAAAAAGATACATGATAGCTTTCAAAATCAGGTTGAATTAAAAGTTGCCAGTTATGGCAGTGACAAGCAGAAACTTTTTATGACAGTGATTTCTCTCCTCATATCATGAAAGACAACTATCCAAAGAAATTAATAAACCACCAGAAATTTCCAAAATGTCCAACCTTACTAGTAATATCCAATGTTGGGAAAAAGCCATGCTCACGTGTGACATGGTTGCTAGAGTATACACTACTATAAGGTTTTTGAAGGGCTGTGTACATCAAAAGCCTTAATACATTTATACCTATTGAGCTGACAATTCCACCTCTAAGAAATTATCCTAAAGAAATAATTATAAATGTACACAAAGATTTAGGTAAAAGGATATTGACTCACAGTGTTATTAATAACAGTAAAGGGAAAAAATCCTAAATTTTAGATAATAAAGATGAGTTAAATACAATATATTGCATATATAAAAAAGAAATACAACCTAGCCATAAAAATAGTACTGGAGAATATTCAACAAAATAGAAAAAGTGGGGGGAACAAAAAAGATAAAAAAACAGGATGACCCCAATTTAATTAAAAATATATACATACAGATACTGTATTTTCTCAACTCCTAAATATACACTTTTCACATTTTAATGTTCTTATTTTTTTTTTTTAATCTTTTTTTTTTTTTTTAAGATTTTATTTATTCAGCTTTTTCCCCCCAAAGCCCCAGTAGACAGTTGTATGTCATAGGTTCACATCCTTCTAGTTGCTGTACGCGGGACTCGGCCTCGCGTTGGACGGAGAAGTGGTGCCTCCGGGCGCTCCCGGGATCCGAACCCGGGCCGCCAGCATCAGAGCGCGCGCACTTAACCGCCAAGCCACAGAGCCGGCCCTAATGTTCTTAAATTATGGTATAATTTACAATTGATATATATAGTTAGTATCATAATATTGTTACCCAAAAATAATAATTGGTTTTGACTTAAAATCGATAATGGTTATCTCTGGAAGCAGAATTATGGGTAATATTCTTCTTTGTGTATTTCTGTACTTCCCAAATTGTCTACAGTGAACATAGGTATATTGCTTTTGTAGTCATAAAGCAATGTTCTTTTTAAAAAAGCATATTACACTGGTAAAATGTGGTGAAAGATACCTATTTTTATAGCTTATAAAGAAAGCTCAAAAGGATAAGCACAGGTTCAAATAACACTACCAAGACCTAGAAAGTAACCATTCTGGCTTTGGAGTCAGAGAGCTCTGGCCTCAAAGCACTGCTCTGTGACACTGGGCAAGTTACTTAACCTCTCTGAGTCTTAGTAGCCTCCTCCATAAAATGGGGCAATAACAGCTATCTTTCAAGGTTAATGTCAGGGTTGTGTAAATTACATATGAAACATTTGGATACTCCATAAATAAACACTTTAGGGATGTATAATTCTATTCTCAGTCCAGAGAATAAAGATTGATTGAAAGATACCCAAAGTAAGTGCAAAGTGCTAATGAGCAATCCAAAACCCTTACACATTTCAAGGAGAACTTTATTCTCTAGAAGAGCAGGCTGACTACAATATTCCTTATTTACTTTGAAACCTAATTACTTAACACTAAATAAGTTATGATATATATATATTTCAAGTAAATTATATTATAAGGAACCTTAACAGTTTTATTTTTAGTAGATAAGAGAGTTGAAAACAGGTGATTTTAAATTAGCATGGTTACACATTCTTTATGCTTTGGACAACTGTGTAATTAGTATCTGATAAGGGACTTGTATTTAAAATATATGAAGAACACCTACAACTCAACAATAAAAAGACAATCCAATTTAAAAATGGGTAAAGGATCTGAAAAGATATTTCTCTTAAGAAGATATACAAATAGCCAATAAGCACATGAAAAGATGCTCAACATCATTAGCCATTAGGCAAATGCAAATCAAAACCACAGTGAGATACCATTTCACACTCACTAGGATAACTATAATAAAAAAGACAGACAATAACAAGTATTGGCGAGGATGTGAGAAACTGGAACCCTCATACACTACTGGTGGGAACGAAAAACGTTGCACCTGCTTTAGGAAACAGTCTGGTAATTCCTCACAAGGTTAAAAATGGAGTTACCACATGGCTCAGCAATTCCACTCCTAGGTAATACCCCAGAGAAATTAAAACATATGTCCACACAAACACTTTTACACAACTGTTCATAGTAGCATTTTTCATCATAGCCAAAAAGTAAAAACAACCCACATGTCAATCAACTGAGGAATGGGTAAACAGAATGTGGTAGATCCATACAATGGGATATTACTTGGCAATAAAAGGAAACGGAGTACTGATAAGTGCTGCAACATGGATAAACCTTGACAATATTACATTAAGTGAAAGAAGCCAGTCACAAAAGACAACATATTGTATGAGCCCATTTATATGAAATATCCAGAACAGGCCTATCTATAGAGACAGATTGGTAGTTGCCTGGGCTGGAGAATAGGGGGTGGTGGGAAACGGGGCAGGGGAGGGGGCCACTAAGAGATATGTGGCATTTCTTCTTGGCGTGATGAAATACTCTAAAATTGATTATGGTCATGGTTACACAACCCAAACGTTTGAACTATAGACTTTAAATGGGTGAATTGTATGGTAACTAAATTATATCACAATAAAACTGTTTATATTAAAAAAAACTGTATTATAGACATTTAGTTTTTTTCTTCACCTCAAGATAACAAAGGAAGTTGTTACATAGCCCATTACAAGAAGAAAGTTTCTTCTTGGCAGATTCACTGAAGGTAAATCAAATGCTGGGCTCTCTTTTCACATACCTCCTATCTGCAGCTCTGGACAACCCATTCGTCTCATCTGCGTGCTGACAGACTCGATCTCCTGTACAAGCGGCACCAATATTGTCTCATTGATCCACTAGGAAGAAATGAGGTAAAGATTTTACACACACAATTCTGAAGCATTTCTCAAATTATTTTCATAAAACTAAGAATTTTTTTTTACCGTCTTGTACTTGAGTATTAATTAATACAGTATAGTGAAGAGAAGAGAAGCAGTAGCTACCTGAAGTCTAGAGAGAGCTACGTAAATATGCTATTGGAGTCTAAGTTATTAAGTGATATTCTTAAATCACATGTCTGTTTGTTCTGAAGAAAATATAAGACTTTCAGTTATATGTTAAGTTTTTCTTAAATTTTTCTACAATTACTATACTTACCTAAAAAGATAATTTTCAGTTTACAAGTCTAGGGTAATTATTCATACATTTATTCATGTAGTGTTTATACTGGTTTATGATTAATAAGATAGTTTTTGAAACTAACATAACTGATTAACTCTCAGCAGGCTCACCCTAGCCATGTGGAAAACAGATTTATTACATTTGAAACTGGTTTGTGAATATTACAATATTACTTTAGGACTAGGAATTTCAAATGCCACTTTGCATGGCTAACATTAGACTAATTCTGGGATGTGAAAAGACTGTCCAAGGGAACACCCCATCTGTATTGGTTCTGTGTTATGTGTTTCGTGTCCGTGTTTGTAGCAACTTCAACCACCATTTCTGTTTCCATGCTTCTGTTTAACCATAAAATGGAAGGATGAAAAAGTTTCAGATGAAATACAAGTCTACAATTCCTTACAAAAATTCTGAATTAAAAAACCTCTGAAAACTGAAAGTTTTTTTCTAATCCATTTAGCAAGCAAATTAGATATATCAAGACCTGAACTGAATTCCCATGAAGCTATTGACTTTATCCCACTTAGCGTAACTATTCAAATGCTTTGCTGCAGAAATATTAATGTTGTTGATTACTGAGTGCTAACCAGACTCCTTTAGTGGTATTACAAAATATATGGTATATGTATATAGCTTTTTAAAAAAATCCAAAAAACTCTAAATTTCAGAACACTGTAGCCTAAGGAATTCAGATAAGGGATTGTGTTTGTATTTCTTCTAAGCTAAAACTCCTCAGACTTTATATTTTAAATACATTAGCATTTTTAGACAAGCCTATAAGTGGGAAAAAAAGAGAGTACAGTTTCAGGACAACATTTCCCTCATTCATTCTTCTAGCATTTACTAAGTGCATCCTACTTGCCAGACACTCTTTGGCTGCAACAAATTATCTAACAGGTCCAGGAGAGAGATCTAGGCCTCATCCCCAGAAAGTGAGTAGTTCTAGGGTCGGGCTCAGGAATTTTTATTTTTAAAAGCCATCCAGGCTTCTAGTTCAAGAAAGTAGGCTGCTATTTTTCACGACTCCCTCTTGACACCCTATTTAAATTATAGGTAAAGAATAAAAAAGGAGTACAAGTGATTTCAACATATTTCCAGAAGATATAGAGAGGCTGGATGAGTGCTGACAGATGGAACAGTGGAAGAAACAGCCGCCTCTACAGAATCTAAGTGGAGATACCACAGGGGACAAGGAGCCAATCTGCCCAACAGCACTTGGGACATACAGGTACCACAGAGAGTGAGAGAAAGAGGTGGCACTGAACCAAGGGAACTAATTCACTCTGTATATGGAGAAGTTGGCCTTCCCACCTCCAGGCCAAAGATTAGAGGGTTCTTTGCTAGAAAAATTGAAGAAACTGATATATTCTGAAGTAGTTTCAAGCATACGTTGTCTTCTCTCTCCAACTCGGAAGTTTTCTGAGGACAAGGACCTCATTTTTGTTCCCTCACATTTCTACACATGATAGGCTCTGACAGAAATGCTCTTTGAAAAATAAAATTGAGATGTTGAGAAAGGGAAGATATTAATAACTAAATACATTGTTCCTTTATCCACTCAAAATACACTGATTTACTAAGTATGGAGGGGAAAAAAACCCCTTGAAAATGGACACCAGAAGGTAAATGTCATCTTTATCCTTATACATGTGCCATCCATATTGCATTTTTAGTAACAATTAATTCTGATATTCTTTTTTTTTTTTTTTAAAGATTTTATTTATTTTTTATTTTCCCCCCCAAAGCCCCAGCAGATAGTTGTATGTCATAGCTGCACATCCTTCTAGTCGCTGCATGTGGGACTCGGCCTCAGGATGGACGGAGAAGTGGTGCCTCGATGCGCACCCGGGATCCGAACCCGGGCCGCCAGCATTGCAGCGCGCGCACTTAACCACCAAGCCACAGGGCCGGCCCTAATTCTGATATTCTAATTAACAATTAACATCTCTGATATTCTAATAACATACTTTGCATATTAATAGGCACTAATATTGTCCAAAGAGCAATGTCAGCACTCACATTTCTGAACTTAGCTGTCCATGAATCCATATGATCAAGAAGTTGTCTATTCATAGTCACTCTTGCCCAAACCTATTAAAAATATGTTTAAAATGAATAATCAGTGAGGAAAAATGTTGCCAGAAATCAGTCATTCTTTCCCCCAACCCTCAAAAATATCTGGAACACTGAAAAAAATCTTCACAAACATCAATATTGATGTAATAAATATGCAGTAATTTTCTTATTACTCACTAGGTTGCTATTCATGCACAAATATATCTTTAAAATTCCTTACGTTAGTATGTTTAAAGAACATTCCTCTTTGCTTTTAAGAACAAAATAAAAATCTTATATTTGGTATTAAACTGATGAAATTACAGACTCTCAAATGTTCTAATCTAAATGTATTTTAAAAGCAAGAGTCTTGTATATGTTAAGTATAAATAGATACTTGAGACACCTTTTTATAAATGAATGCAGAAAAATGCTTTAGCCAGGACACTAATGTCAACTATGTGTCATAAAGAGTAAAATGTACAACAGAATTCAGTTTTAGGTACCCAAAGTTAGATAGGAGCCTTTCCACTGTTTAATGTGTGCCAGATTTATGTTTCTACACACTAAAAGTGGAGGTTACAGAAAAAAAAGTTCCAGAAGTAGAAGAGAAGACTTTCTAATAGTCTGTAAATCAGAAATATTAAGTCATTTTTATTCTCCATTTACCTCCTCTGCAGCTTGTTTAGAACTGAGATCAGCTTCATCTTTGTTAGCACACGGGGCCTGAGACCTACAGGCAAGCTGATACTGAAACTTCTTTAAAGTCTGTGCATGATCCCCCACAGAACGACTGTAGTTCCAGAAAGTAGGACTGGTGGAAGGCGAGGCAGAGTCTGGGCTCCCTACAATGATTAAAGAGTATCAGTGTGTTGGAGTAATTTTGAGGTCTGGAGTTAGCACATGAAGTGGGCATCTAGGCACCTAGGGAATATCAATCAAGGAAGATGAAGCCTCCAGGGGCTTCTCTCCTCCCTCCTCCCCAACATTATCTTCTCTTCAGAGAACATGGACTGCTTGTGCTAAAAATCAGAAAGAACATTTCCTGAGCAGTATCAATTTAAGAGCCGTAAGAACCCTAAGTGGATGAAAGTGTCTGTTTATTTTTGTTGTAAAACTAAGCTTATTTCATTATCTAAGACTTTTAAATGATTCAGTGAGAAACAAACACAAGACAAATTTCTTTAGGAAAAAAACAGGCTAAGGAAGTTACTTGCTTGAATTTTTAGAAGCTCTTTCTGAATGGCCTAACTAGAGTCTCCTATTAATAAACTATTCTTCGGGTTAGTAGCTAAACCCACTCTTCCCTCCACTACACTGCGTTCTAGTTACAGCCTGTAGTAATTCCCGTGCGGTATAAAAGAGACTATCTGTTGATTACACCCCTAAATTTATAAATTTACTTTTAGGCAATGTAAATAGTTACATTTAGGAACTTAATCCTATAGAGGCCTCTACCAAGTACTTATCACACTTTAAGGTTACAGTTTGTCTCTTTTCCCAATACAATTTGAGCTCCTTGCGAGCAGGGAGTATTTTTTCCCCTAGCATCGAGCACAGTACCTGAATAAATAACAAATTTTCAATGACAAGTTTATGATACTTATGAAGGCCTTATTTTTTTCAGAGCTTAACTGATATCAAAAATATCAATTGATACTTCAAACACACACAGAAAAATCACAAACAGAAATTAGGTTTTTTTAATCTTAGCAGAATTTCTAAAAGAAGTGACTATAGATAATAAAACTGGTTTTCTTGTGATGTTTACAGACACAAAGGATGAGAAATCATGAAAAGAATATGTTAGAATATTTCAATTCACAGCATTGAAACCCTGAAGGTTAGCCAGTCTTGTGCTAATAGCTTTGGTGAACAGTAGTATGTTTCATGCTGGCATAAAAATAAATAATTATGCACAGCAAAGGAATATCACACTTGGTGTAAAGTGAAATTTTCAAGTAGGACTTCTGGCAAAATTGACTTACAGAAATGAATTAAGAAGTTTTTAAACTAACACAACTGATTTAATAAGTAGGGAATAAAAAAGGAAGGTAAAAGACATGGTGATGATAGAGCACAAAGTTATCCTATTTTGATTAATCATTTTGAATATTAATTTTAAAAATGATAATCAAGCTTTCTCAGACAAAACTTGAGAAAAATTTCAATAAAGACTGGCTTTAGATACAAAAGGAGTTTTATACAGATGATAGAAATAAGAATTTTTAATATCTGTTGTGTATTAGTCAAAGTACAAGCAAAATATACATAGCAAGCAGTGACAAAATAGGGCCTCTCTGTAATGACCACCACCACCACCAAAATAGTACAAAATCTGTACCCGGAGAACCCCAAAGATCTAAGAATCAAAGCACACAGAGATTTGGAATTCTGGCAACATAACAAACCAGGTAACCTGAAACATCTCCCACTATATATATCTAAAAATGTTTATTTAATAAAAAACATTATTTAAATGAATAATGGAGCTTGCAAAAAGTAAGAGGAACAGCCAGTGGCTAAAAAATGAAAAGGGAATTGAAAATCAGAGTGGCCTGTGTGTGAGCTGATGCTGTGGCTGCTCTGGAGAATTCTGTAGCCTTTGGGAAACCTATTAGCTTGGATTTCAGTGCCCAAGTGGGAAAAGAAGATGTAGGCCCAGCAGAGGTAGAGAGATGGACTAAGACTTTTCTCCTACCTCCATCCCCTGCACCGAGCATAGGGCCAGGAACCTCAAAGGACCATATTCTCAGTGAATGAGAAAAATATCTGTCTCCTGGCACCAGGAGATATCAAGGAAGCTTGTCTGTGTTAGTCAGGTTGCTGGGATATTTTTTACAAAATCTCTGAGATTTAAAAAATTATAGATCCGGGGCCGGCCCTGTGGCTTAGCGGTTAAGTGCGTGCGCTCCACTGCTGGCGGCCCGGGTTCGGATCCCGGGCACGCACAGACGCACCGCTTCTCTGGCCACGCTGAGGCTGTGTCCCACATACAGCAACTAGACGGTTGTGCAGCTATGACATACAACTATCTACTGGGGCTTTGGGGGGAAAAATAAATAAATTAAATCTAAAAAAAAAAAAAAATTATAGATCCATCTTCACATTTAGAGCACCCATTTACACTACCTGTGAGGTCCAGGAACCTCCAAGCTCAGAAATTACTTAAGTTAGTTCAAAGTCAATGATACTCCTTAGGCACCTGGCAGAGGCAAACAAAACTGCCAGGAGGAGACAAGGCTTCCACCCAGCCTGGCCAGGATAGAAAAAACACAGATAAAAACTCTACTGAAGATGAGTCTACCAAAACAAACTAAAAATATATAAATCACAAGAAAACAAGCCTCCAAACAAAAGAGTCAACAAGATTAAAATGTTAGTATTTAATCCCCAAGAACTTTAGATAATTTCACTACTGGACAGAGACTTCTAAAAAGTATGTTTTAATTTATTTATTTTCCCCCCAAAGCCCCAGTAGATAGTTGTATGTCACAGTTGCACATCCTTCTAGTTGCTGTATGTGGGACATGGCCTCAGCATGGCCGGAGAAGCGGTGCGTCTGTGCGAGCCCGGGATCCAAACCCGGGCCGCCGGCAGCGGAGCGCACGCACTTAACCGCTAAGCCACGGGGCCGGCCCTAAAAAGTATGTTTTAAGTGATTGTAACAGGAAAAAGAAGTGAAAACATATGAACAAAACAAGATAACCTAAAATGAATCAGGCATACTTGAAAGAGAACCAAACAAAACTTTGAAAAATGAAAAAAAAAAATGACAAATTAAAAAACTCAAGGAGTTTGTTAAACAGTAGTTTAGACACTGCTAAAGAATGAATCACCCATCAGTCCAAATGGGCTGAAATAACAAACCGTGGGGTGAGGGGTAAAACAGAAAGCTCTTCTTTACAGAACAATGCCATGCTACTAAATGTAGAGGAAATGGAAGTATTACAAAGGCTCCATTTTGCAACCACCACTGTATTAACTCCTTCAGGAAAGGATCATCAATGGATGCTAAAACCACTAGATGAGAGGCCGTTAGGGGAACAGGAAATTCACAAGTCTCGAAGGATCACACGATAGATTATTTATTAATTACAAAAGGGAAAAGCTATTATGAAGAAATCAGGTTGCCACCACCGTGACCAAGTGATCCAGTGGAATGTTACCAATAAAGGGAGAAAATGATATCACGAGTTTCCTGATGTGATACACTGAAAGGAACACATGTGTCACCACCTACTGTGTTTTTGCCAAAAAATAATATTTCAACTGATTCTTTTTTTTTTTTAAAGATTTTATTTATTTATTTTTTCCCCCCAAAGCCCCAGTAGATAGTTGTGTGTCATAGCTGCACATCCTTCTAGTTGCTGTATGTGGGACGCGGCCTCAGCGTGGCCGGAGAAGCGGTGCGTCGGTGCGCGCCCGGGATCCGAACCCGGGTCGCCAGCAGTGGAGCGCACTCACTTAACCACTAAGCCACGGGGCCGGCCCTCAACTGATTCTAATAATGAGAAAATGATCACACAAATCCAAATTTGCAAAACAACAAGCCTGACCTCTTTAAAATGTAAATGTCATAAAAGACAAAAAAACCAAAAATGCACAAATGTTCTAAATTAAAGAAGACATAAGAAGCATAAGAACTCAATGCAATACACCATCCTTGACACCATCCTGGATCCTGCATCAGTAAAAGAAAAAAAAAGCTACAAAGGTCATTATTGGGTCAACTGGAGGAAATGTGAAAATGAATAATAGTAGTATCTTAAGTATGATAATCACATTATAGTCAGAAAGGAAAATGTCCTTGTTCTTAAGAGAGGCATGAGAAATATTTAGGGATAAAGTGGTCATTCAGCAAAAAAGTGTTTGTGTGAGAAAGAATATATGTGAGTGACTGGTTTTTCACTATTGGAGAAAGGAATTACAAATATGGAAAGGGAGGAGGCTAGAATAAAGCCTATATAGTTGGATTGGAACTGGAGGTATCAGTATGAACTCACGGTTTTTAATATATACAGATAGATGGATGCAGAAGTACATATAGATGTGTGTGTACATGTATGTATATACATATATTTCCTAGCTGTCTGCTGAGTAATGATACCCCATTAACAATGGCACAGCCAATGCCCAGACATTAACTTATAAATATTATTCTCCACTGAAAGCAATCATGGTCCCTTGGAGAAACAGACTGATGCCAGAGCTAGTTAGCCAGGGAAAGTATAAGAGGAGCCTGGAATACCCTGTGGTGCTGGAAAGTAAAAAAAAGAAAAAAAGTGCTCAAAGAATGATAGCATCATGTCAAAAGAACACAGAAGCCAGAGGATCCCATAGCCAAATCTGAGAAAATCTAACCACCAAAATAAATGACATAATAAGGGAAGAAGAAAGAGCTCTATCTTACAGTAGAATGCCAACAAATAAATGTAAAAGGTGGTTGTACAACAATGTGAATGTACTTAATACCTGAGTTACACACTTAAAAATGGTTAAATGGTCAATTTTCTGTATATTTTACAAGAAAAAAAAGTTTAAAAAATGTAAAAGGGATAAATATATAAGGAATGATGGAATTAGAAAGCCACTATGAAAACCAACATAGTATTAATTTTGAAAAGACTCTTAAAAAGACATTAAAACTAGTAAGTCAAAATTTGATAAGGAATAGGATATTTATACAATCACAAAGTAGCTTCCCATAAAATACTTATTAATAATTTACAAATTAATTTGTTCAAAATAGTTAATTACCTAAAACCCATGGGCACAGAAGGGTTAAAAGTACAGGGACGGACATGGACATACCAGGCAAATACTAACCAAAATGAAATTAGTATAGCTGTCTTAATGTCAGACAAAACAGACTCCAAGGCAAAAAGCCTAAGAGATAAAGACAAAAGGAATAACTGACCAGAATGATAGTAACAATTCTGAATTTACATAATCTCATATACACTGAGCAAATTTGATAGAACTATGAGGAGACATTTAATGAGAGATAATCAGTGGGAGCTTTTAACATACTTTCTTAGTAACTAATAGATCAAGCAGATAAAAATTAATAAGATAAAGAATTTAAGAACACTATCAAGAAGCCTGACTCAGCAAACAAATATGAAGCTCAATACTTAGAGACTGTACACTCTTTTCAACAAACCAAGAACCATTTATAAAATGTGATCACGGGGCCAGCCTGGTGGTGCAGTGGTTAAGTGCATGCGCTCTGCTGCAGTGGCCTGGGGTTCGGATCCCAGGCGCGCACCGACGCACCGCTTGTCGAGCCATACTGTGGCAGCGTCCCATATAAAATGGAGAAAGATGGGCACAGATGTTAGCCCAGGGCCAGTCTTCCTCAGCAAAAAGAGGAGGATTGGCAACAGATCGTTAGCTCAGGGCTAATCTTCCTCACACACACACAAAAAAGTGATCACACAGCAGGCCTAAATCCTAGTCTCAAGAAACATCAAAAAGTTAATAAGGTACAGATCAGAATCTCTAGCCACGGTGTAATTAACTTAAAAAAAAAAAAGATAACCAAGCTTTTCATTTCACAGGTTTGAAAATTAAAAGCAACACCAATCGCCAACCACCAATAATACTTCCAAACAATAATAACCATACTTCTAAATAACTCCTATAGGTCAAGGAAGAAATAAAAATGGAAGTCAGAAAAATATCTGGATATGACAACAATATGTAGAGGGTATACAGGCTGTTCTTTGTATTCTACCCCATAATTTTTGGTATACTTGAAATATTTCAAAATTTAAAAGGAAGAAAAAGCATGTATCAACAAATAACAAGATAACATTGATTTGTTTCTTTGACATTTGTAGCACTTTCAGGCAAAATTAAATTAAAAATCAACGGAGAGACTTCAGGTGACACGAAGAGCCATGGTCCAATAACTGGTTTCCTCATTGTGGCCATGTTTTAGCACCTAATGTGCTTTCTGTGAGAGTTCCTCAGGGGGAAAAATCATTACTCGGCTCAATAACCTAATTCGGTTTCAAATAATCGACTTTGTAATAATCAAATCCACCCCAAACAGATTAAGAATTGCTAACATTGTTTCCCAAAGTAAACTAAAGAAAGTTCAAAATGTCCTGAAAAACAGCAGCACTTCTAGAGTAAACCCATGCTCTCTCCCTCATCCTTCCCCGCCACCTCAACCTTCCCAAGGACCCCCTGGAAGGAGACAACTATCACTTCAATAAGCTTTGCTACACACTACTTTAAAAACATTTGACAGCCTCAATTTTTAAATAGAAATTATAAATTACATTCTACGAAAAAGCTTTCAATCTTGATGGAGATGAAAAATTCAAGATTTCTCAGTTAGTTCAGCTATATTTTACTTCTTAAATTTGGTGAGCTTAATTCTAACTGCATAAAATCTAAAAACAGAACGCATTTCTCTCCTAAGCTACACAAGTTATATCAGTAAAGGAGACAAACAGTTATGTACGGGTATCAAAGTAACGAAAATAATGGGTTAAGGATAATGTAAAGTGACACCAAAAATACGTACATTAGATCTAAATAAAACAAAATATAGCTACCCAGCTTAACTCTATGCTGTTTCTCTTCTTCACTTCTAAGGAAAGTATCCAAAGTTCGTAGGTCTGTCATGTAGTCTTCTTTGTCGGTAGGGGAGTTATAGACTGTGGGTGAAGAACGGTAGCGAGATCTCAATCCACTGCTCTCCACTGGTCCAACAGTGGTAGGGTACGGAGGAGAAGGGGAGGGACTGTAGCTTGCCAACTATACAAAAAAAAGAACTTTATTTTATTTTTCTTTAATTGAAATTTATTTTTGTTTTGGTTTTTGACTTTCAAAACGGAACACACCAATTAGAATGGCCAAAATCCAGAACACTGACAGCACCAAATGCTGGGAGGATGTGGAGCAACAGGAACTCTCATTCATTGCAGGTGGAATGCAAAATGGTACAGCCACTTTGGAAGACAGTTTGGCGATTTCTTACAAAACTAAACATACTCTTACCAGATGATCTAGCAATGGTGCTCCTTGGGCTGTATGATATTTCACTATACAAATACACCATAATTTATTTTTACATTCTCTTATTCTAGACATTTGGATTATCTGTAAACAATGTTATGATTTACATCTTTGTACATAAATCTTGGTTAATTTGTGATGATTTCCTTTAGGAGATTCCTAGAACTAAAATGATTTGATCAAAGCATATGAGCATTTTTAATACATATTCCCATTCTTCTTTTTTTTTTTTGTGAGGAAGATCAGCCCCGAGCTAACATCCATGCTAATCCTCCTCTTTTTGCTGAGGAAGACCGGCTCTGAGCTAACATCTATTGCCAATCCTCCTCCTTTTCATCCCCACAAAGCCCCAGTAGATAGCTGTATGTCATAGTTGCACGTCCTTCTAGTTGCTGTATGTGGGACGCGGCCTCAGCATGGCCGGAGAAGCGGTGCGTCGGTGAGGCCCGGGATCCAAACCTGGGCGGCCAGTAGCGGAGCACGCGCACTTAATCGCTAAGCCACGGGGCCAACCCTCCCATTCTATTAAATGAAAATATTGTACTAAGCTATACTCTTATCTGAAGAGAATAGATAGGAGTACCCATTTTGGTTTATGTCCATCAGCATTACTATTTTAAAATAGGTTCATTTGATATACAAGATTTTTTTTTAATGTAGTACATTTAACTTGTATTTCCTTATACTTACGAAGTTAAACACTTTAAAAATACAATTCCTGGTCACCAGTATTACCTATTTTATTAACTGTTTTTTTTTTTTTTTTTTTT